GATGTTTTGTTAAAACTGAAGTGAATGACACAGTCTTTTCTAACAGAATCTAATGACAGCCTTCTTCCACCCTCAGAAGGTTTATTCTGACATGGATTTGTAATTACACAAGGGATGCCACTAAGAGAGTATTTCAGCCTCTAACCAAAAATTAATTTTGCTCAGATTTTGCCAAGATAATCGCTCCTGGTATTCAAGTGGGAGTTTAAGATCCCATCACTTGTCCTTATGAATATAATGAATATAATATATAACCTGTAGATAGGACTAGCAATTTTAAAAATTATGTGTCTATCTATATTAGATTGTAACTCTATAGACAGTGGCTACTTTTTCCCCTTTGATAATATTAGATCAAGGAAGTCTAAAATAGAATCCCTAGGGGGGGGGGGAAAGATATTATGACCTCTAATTAAATGGATTTTTTTTTGTTGATACAATACATACAGATACTTCTCTTATCTGATCTGCCTCAAATATCAAGTTTCATTGGACATGAATTTTTTTTTTATCCTGCTTTTGGCCCAAACCCACAGCCTTATCTACAAGGAATCAAATAAAGACCTTCTAGAACAGCAGCTCTGTCACTGCCCAAAGATTTAGTCCCTCAAGGCTGATTGCCATAAATGCTGAGATTTGTCAGAAATTACCTCTATATCCCTAGAATTCTGTGAATAAGTCCCAGTTGCTGGAAAACTCTTAAATAGGAATTAGAAGGTTTTTCTTCTTTCATTTGCTGCAATCTAGCTTCCGTGGGCTCTAAGTAATATTTTAAAAAGTAGTGGATTAAAAATTAGCATGAAGCCCTCTCATTACTTCATGACAACAGATTTTAAACATTCCTTCTCAAGGTATTATCCTAGTAAACATTAAAAACTGCAGTCTTAAAGGGTGTGGGAAGCGTAACATGGGCTCCCACATAGTCACATAGAAGACTCCTCCTAGTCTCCTACACCAGGGTATCTGACCTTGATTTTCATTAGGTTTTCAGCCTGGGACAGATAACTCACTTTGTGGTTAATTATCCTGCACAGGGTCCATGGCAGTGGTTGGAGTGTAGAGCTCTTGTGGGCACAGCCAGATCCATTAGAGCCTCACTGAGGACACCAGCAGACCCAAGCTGAAGAATTTACCAATTCACTCCACATAATTACTGCCAGCCTGAGACAGGCAGGTATGGAAGGAGGAAGAAAAAGGATTTTTTTCCTTCCCTGCAAAGTGCCTGGTCATAAATGGATGGCAGTGCTAAGGTGAGGACAACCTGAAATTCCTGTATAAGGAAACATAGTTCTGTAGGTACCCAGCCTTCAATTTCTCCTTCATGTTTGTAACTTAATAAATACCTGAGCAAACCTGCAAGTAATTAGTTTAATCAGGGATTGCTTTTGGAAGCGGTGGAAAGTTAAGGATGGGTTGTGTCAGAAAGGCAATGAGCAAATCATAGGGAAAGTGGTCAGAAGATGCAAAGAATACACTAGAAAGAGCTGAAAGGTATTTTGGAAGAAGCAATTGCAACACAGCAGGCAAGTCTTGGCACAGAACTCATAACTAATTAGAGAGAATCCTAATTGCATTTCAAATATTTTGAACACAGCCTTGCAGTTTCACATACATAGGAAGTGGGGCTGAAGTGCAATTCCCTGCAGAGAGGAGCCAGCCTCTGCAGGGTGGCAGGGCCCTTTGGCAAACACCTGAGCACAGCTCACCTGGGCAAACCTCAGCAGAGCGAGGCACAGAGGGCACAGCCCCAACACAGAGCAGTGCTGCTGCTTCTGACCTGCCACACTCCAGCAGGGTGACAGTGACATCAGGGGTGGCACTTCAGGGCTCCTGGCCCTGCACAGGCGGCACTCACTGCAGGAGAGGCTCTGCCTTTCTGCTCGGAGACTTTGGGGAGGTCAGACGTGCTGGGAGCCTGGGGAAGAGCTGTCCAGAGCAGCCGCTGTGGGCTCAGCTCCTGCAGCACCCTCTGCTCCCCCAGCCTCAGGATAGACCCCACAGGTTGTGTTAAAAAGGAGTTAGCTGCTGGGTTTCATTCCACAGTTCCCATGAGAACAGGAGCTGCCCTCCAAGGTCTGCCTCCTGTGCACCCCAGAGTGGCTCTTGAAACAACCAGGATAATCACACTGCTGTCAACTGTTCTGTTACTAAAGACTATAGAGGTTCAAAATACATATTCCTTTAAAATAAATGAAAGAAAGCCCACCTTTTCATGGTGAAATATTTGCCAGCCACTACACAATCTGAAGGTTCTCTTTAGAGAAAAAGGGCAGAATATCATGGGTATTTATTTTCAAGCAGATGTGGCCACCAAAGGCAGCTTGGACAACTGCCACCGTTTCAGTTCAACAGCAGAATTCTTGAATTTAATTTTGGGTTTTGGTAGCACCACTGTTCACCAAGATTCACAGTCTCAGCAGTTGGGGATGAGAGGAAGGAGAGAAAAGACTGAAAAATTAGATAACTTGGTCATTTTTCCACACCAAGTGCGGAGCTGTCAAAGGGAGATTGCACTTTTTGGTCCTTGCCCTCCTGTCTCCTTGCCTGTGCTGGCATGGTGAGGGAGGAACAGCTCCACTCTCTGTTACAAGCATCCCCCAAAATGTATTTCTGTCTGTGAGAACTCAACACTAGATAAGTACAATTACCTGGCTGCTGTTGGTACCAGAATGGTATTTCAATTTCTGTATAAAACATTTCACACAATGAGCTGAAGTTTTGCGGTCCTGGACAGATTAAATGCAATATTTTCCAGCAGGATAGATAGTTTGGGAGTTCTGGGAGAGCCTTTCTGCTGCTGCAGTAGGATCTTGACACTGTGAGATACGTTGCCAGTTCTATAGGACAGCAGAGCCAGCTAAGCAGCTCCAGCCTCCCTGGTCCCACCGACCCCAGTTTGTTGTCTCCTAGGAGATCAAATCCCTTATTTTCCATGTACCTCACTCTGCAGCCTCAAGAAGGATTCGTTCAACACTGTCCTGCAAATACTTTGAATATTCAGCTTGCAGTAGATTTATCAAAGGCTAAGATAAAGCTTTTCAGCATTTCAGTACTTGTTCAGTTTCACTTGGAATTTACTTGAAGTATTAAAAATAAATTAGTACAAACATGACCTGTGCCTATATAAATATTTGCCCATATTTGGTAAACGTTTAAATATGTAATTTCTGAAAAGCACCTCTTACTATGGCAATTTCCAGGTTTTAAAAAGCAAAAAAGGATCTTTCCTCCTGCTTTATTCGCACTGTTACAGGAAATTAGTGGTTAAGCAAACTTTTTTAAAAAGGCTTAACGAAGCACGTTTTGCAAGTTCATTTAGTTTTGAATGAACTTGACAAATTTTGAAAGCAAACATCACTTGAAGTTGGCAAATTTAAGAGGACCAGGGAAAACCTCCTTTGCTATTTGAATTTTAAAGATTGGCCAAAGTCTTATGTCAGCTGCCTTGTTCTCCAGCCTGTCTTTGAATCCTCTTAGGAAAGTCAGGGATACCCACAAACAATAGAATTAAAATCTGTCTTTAGGACTGGCAAACCATTCAGAGCTGTCTGGCTGCTTAGCATAGACTGTGCTAGGCCTCAAGAAGAGAATAGGCCCCTAAAGAAGCAATAATTTTCAGATTGTTGTGTACAATGCAGTGATAAAGCTCCCTGTCACATTTTTCTTCCCAGTTACTGAAGTTCCCATTCAGACGAATTGTCACAGCTTCTTCAATCCAAACAAGCACCCTTCCGGCCTTGTTTGCATTAAAATGTGATAAAACTAAAGGTGACTTTAGCACAGCTGTGCAGAAAAGTGGATTAGGTCAAAGTGACAGCGTTTGTTAGGCCTTGCCACAAAGGTGGTTCAAGATTTGTCTAGAGTGCTAATGTGGGAGAAGCAGGAGCTTCTTAAACCCAGACATTTGTAATAAGGCCACAAACAAAAAATAGTATTTCTTTCATCCCCACCATGGTAGGTTCCCAATGGCAGCAGGCCGTGCTGCGGCCCTGCTGTCACGGGAGGATTCGGGCCCCTCTGAGGGGAGGCTCTGCCCCTGCCCCTCATTCCCAGCCGCTGGGACCGGGGCTCGGAGCTCCCTGGTGCTGGAGCTGCTGCGGATCCTCCCGCGGACACCAGAGCTCCAGAGCCATCACACCCCGAAGGACAGCACTCCCAAAAACCCTTCTGAGGGAGGAGGAAGGCAGGGCTGCTGTTCGCAGCGCAGAGCAGCCGCCGGTCCTGCCGCCAACAGGGCGCTCCCACTGCACCTTCTCTTAAACTCCTCTTTCCATCTCATTTTACTGTTACGGGAAAACCCCACCGAGGCAAAAAGCCCTGGGAAATCGTACCCTTTGCATGCCACCTGCTGGCAATTTTTTGTATTTGTCTAAAATGGGGGCATAGCATCATTTTCTCCAGGACAAGAACCACTTATGTCAAAGGCTGGCAGAATAATCACTGCAGGTCCCACCTGAGCACTTTGGGTTATCTGTGTGCAACCAGGGTGAGGCCACCAAAACCCACTTCTCCCCCTCACACTGCTACTTAGTTCTTCATCTCATTTATCGTTTCTAACCCAGAAAACAGAGATCTGCCATTAACTTTTGCAGTGCACAAAAACTCTGCAGAAATGCACGAGATTATTTTATAGAAACAGGGTTTATACCCTAGGTTCTCTATGGTGTACTCTTACTGGTCAAAGGTAATAGAAAGCTTCCACATTTATGGGACTTCTTTGCAACCCAAATTTTACAGATAGCTGTCATCATTTCCATGCCTTGTGCTGGTGGAAAAGTGCACCAGGAAATGTGGCCCTTCAGCAAGGGGGGTCTGTGCCACAGGATGCTGCTACATCCCGTGGGACCAGCAACAATCACTGGGTGAAGGGGCTCTGTGAGGCTGAACTGAAGAAAAAATAATAGGGAGCACTTTAGAAAATTTTGGATAAGTTATAAAAGTAAGAAATGTCTGAAAGAGAAATCTCTGCATCGGGTATTTCTTATTAGAGAAGAAAATATTAATTTTATTTCTTTATTGGAGCTTATTAAAGGTATTGGTCTGCTCCTTTGCTGTACATCACTCATTGTACAGTCCCAGTGAAGGCCAAGCACATTTTTGCATGTCAAACCAAAGTTAGCTGTACATAGCTCTCCTCAAAGGTTTCCTCCAGCTGGTAAGAACTGGAACTGAGCATATCCTACTGAACCAAACTCAAAACCAGACACAGCAGCACTGCCAGCACCAGGGAGCTGAGGGTCAGGAAGGATCAGGATTTGGGGAGATACAGTGGTTGATTGGAGGTGGAGAGGTCAGGCAACTTTCAAAAACAGTATTTAATATAAACATAGACAATGTACTGCACCTGCTAAACAATGAGAGTCCTCTGTCTGTGCAGAACGAGGCCCCTGCAGTGACAACAACACTGAGAAAGCCCAGGAAAGCCCTGTCTGGCATAGCTGGAGATCAACAGTGAGCCCTACAGTGCAGGGCAGAGCAAACAAAATCCACTTCTGGGTTACGACAGGGCTGCACAAGCCTTTCTGGAGAATGGGCAAACCTACCTAAAAGATAGGTCTGTCTGGGGCGGGGCTGACATTTTTGGAAAGAGTTCAGGAATTCTAAAGGATAGAACCTCAAAACAGGGCGAAAACCTGACTTTGGAAATTAATATACCCTGGAAGCACTAGTGCCTGAAGCCCAGCCAGATAAGGAGCCAGCTGACATTTGAAGAGCTCTGGAGCTTGGCAGATGCTCTCTCAGAGCTTGCTGCATCCAGCACTGATCCAAGGGTGTAATCCCAACACCTCCTTCTGGAGCTCCACACACCATACTGCAAGACCAGCTGGGAAACAAGGAAAGACAGGTGAGACAGATTTTAATGGCAACATCGTTCACAGTGTGATATATAAATGGAAATTAACCCCAGAACTTCCAGTTAGGTATTTTTTTCCCCCAATTACTACTGGGGCACTACACAGCTAATCTTGCATTTTTCTTTAAATAAAGCCTTGTTTGCTACAATTCAAAGATTCCCTTTACAGGGAATTGATCCTCAAGCTTCAGGATCCTCCATTTTTGTAATATTATTCCACACAGAAGTTCATTACTCCCTTTTCATCTCTTCAAATGTATTGAAGACTTGAGTTTGATGTCATGCTAAATTACTATTAATTAACCTCAGCCCACTTGTGCCTTTGCAAACACTAACTAGGCCATCCACAAGTGCAAATATTTATTATATATTTGAGAATGGGTTGGGTTGGAGGGACCTTAAAGCCCATCCAATGCCACCCTGCCATGGCCAGGGGCACCTTCCACTGTCCTAAGGTGCTGCAAACTCTGTCCGACCTGGCCTTGGGCACTTCCAGGGATGGGGAGTCCTTCTAGAAAGTACTGCAAAGGAAAGCAAGGGGAGGGAACAGAAAATGAAGGAATAGTATATCACTGTGGGATCAGGTCTAGAAATTATTACTAGGATTCAGTTTTTACTGTGGAAATATCACAGTGTTATTACTTTGCTAATTAGCCTGGCCAGGTAGAGGGCCAAGGTGTTAACGCTACTGACTGACTTTAATAACTGGTATTAAGCTAGAGTTTCTGCAGTTTATAACCTGATTCTTCACACTTACATTGGTTAATTGAAGTGCAAACTCTGCAAGACTGTAAGTGTGGTATAATACCCTGGAACTGAGCTTCCCTCCTAGGAGTGACCTTTAATTTTATATTTATAAAAATTATTTATTTCTACACCACTGCACACACCCCATACTCTGTGCACTGTAAGCACTGTAATGACAATCCCAAATATTTTTATCCTTTGGTTTCTTAATAATCATGATCTTTATTATACTTGTTGGAGGGATTTTCACCTTGCTACAGCCACGTTCTCCAGAGCCAGAGAATGAACTGATTGTGCCTGTGCCTCCTGCCTGTTGCTGCATGCCCCCAGGTCAGCAGTACACTCCAGCTCTAATCATGCCAAGATGACGTGAGCTTCAATTTTTCCCAACCTGAAGGCAAATGCCTTCTTCATCACCAGAGTGTACTTTCATTTCAAGTCACACAGAGTCAAACCTCCAGGCTTTGGATTCAAAGTAAATGCATTAAGCACATGAGAAACAATTTGGTGCAGCAGTTAGAGGATACACACTGTTTAACCTGCAATCAGGGCTTTTCCTTCTGCTTTCTCCCAGGAAAAGAGAGAGAAAGAAATGCCAGACACTTTCAGAAAGGTGATAAATGAGACCAGTTAGTTTGGCTTTCTGTTTCAAGAAGTGCATTTTTACAGTCAAGTGAGGCAACACTTCACTGTGGAATAGACATAGGAATATTTTACATGCAATTTACTTAAACCTTTCCTTAAGTTGGAAGCTAACACTTAAAAATGTGTTAATGATTCAAGAACCTAATGTATCCTGACTACTAAATACAACTTTCTGTGGTTCTTTTCATGTACCTGCTTGCCTCAAACCAAATACATGTGGAAACCCAAAGCCCAGAGAGAGATTTTGTAGCTCCCCTTCCTGGCCTGTGTGCACACTGACAGAACTTTGTTTAGGTACCAGATATCACAGGGACAGAGTCATTATTAGTTTTAAAGCTTTCAATTCATGCAGTGATTTTTTTTTACATGATCTTTTCCCTTCTCCCTCCTGTATCCCCAATAAAATTCCTGGGCTGGAGGCTGTGGGATGAATTGACAAATGACACTGTTAATAAAGTAGGGAAGAATTTGGGCAGCTGTCCAGAGGGGCAGAGTACCAGCCCCAGAACATGTCCTGCCTCTCTGGGGGGCCCCAGTGGGTTTTCTAGGGAGTCTGCAAAAACAGCTCCCTGTCCAGGATGGTGCCCAGGGACCTATGGAGTTCAGGTCACCCATCTCCTCTCTGTCCAACACTCCAGCCCTGTAGAGCTCTCCAGGGCTCTGCTGCTGCCTCACATAGTTGCTAAATCAGAGCAAACACACTCCAGTGCTGCCCAGGCACATCTCTGGGAGGACTGGTATGTGGAGAGCAGCCCTGCTGGCTCTGGCACACTGCAGGGTGCACAGGGAGAACAAACTCTGGTGTTCCTCAGAGCCAGGGCTGGGAGCACAACCAGCTGCTGCACCCAGGGGCCTCACTAAGCCACAGGGAGCTCTGCTCTGCCTCTCTTAGCATCCTTCTTTTTCAGCACTGCAAGAATGATGCTCAGTGATATTCCCAGGCCTCCATTTCCATCTATTAAATAAGAATAATTTGCATGTTAAAGTCAATGAAATCTAAGCAACTGCTGAGAAACTTCCCCCAGCTCTGAACCTTGATTTGTGTGTAAACACAGGTATAAACAAGTATAAACACACTGAGATATCCATCCTGGAGTAACAGCCTCACAAACAGCTGCCCCACAGCCTCCCTACCTGCTGATTTTAATGAGAGATCACAGCTACAGGAACATCATCTCCATGGAAAGCTTTAGAGTGACTTCTTATCACTTCCAACAAAACACAAAGCACCCTGAGCTTCCCAGAACACTTTCAGAAGTGACCACAGCTGACCCATGACTCTGACCCAGACCCTCAAGCTGGTGACAGAGTTCTATTCTCAAGTTCCTTTGCTGCCTTCCTCAAGGACTGTTCAGAGATGTTTCAGAGGCCAGTCAGGTCCTTCAAACATCCACCACCATTTTGCCATCCTGCAGTGCCTGTCAGATTTAGTGGGAATGTAGACGATGGCAGAGAAGCCAAATCTGGAGAGTGAAGCCCATTCTGGAATTTCAGTGCAGACACTGTGGTAGTGAACCAAGACATTGTCAGAGTCCTAGCAGGATACATAAAAAATTGGAGCAACCTCTTAATACATGCACTGATGTCGTGAAGAAATCCCACGGGTATGGAGCATCTTTCTCTTGGTTTAATTTCCATTTCAAATTACAAAGGCTTTTCTGTGCTCTTACTTTATAGTGAATGTGGCATAATGATTCCATCCCTGATCAGAGATTTGCATAACTTATGTTAATAGTAGTTGGGTTCATGTTACATTCTTCATCTTAAAATCCAGAACTGATCAGAGAGAATCACTATTATGAGCCTTATTAAATCATTCTCCCCCTCTTCACATTGAATTTTACATTGTGTTATACAGTGAAGGCAAAGAACTTCAAAGGAAACAGGGGTACATTTGATTTTCTATATAAGGAGATCACTTTTCATTATTATTTTTAACCTTTCTCCAGGTTTGAAGATGTAGGAGCGTCAATGTTTGTATCTAAATAGATTTGAAAGTGATTACTGCAAAGCCAAGCAGCTGAAACCACCTCAGTACTGGTGAGCAAATGCCATAATAATTATTAATAATTGCATAAAAATTAAATAAAGGGAATATAATTTAAGCTCAATTGATTAGAAAATCAACCAGAAATTAAGATAAAAGATGTAAATGTAAAAATTTTTAACAGCACTCCAGTGCACATGTATTATTACAACATAATAAAGAAATATACATAAAAGCCCAAACAATCAAGCCCAACAAGCCAAATCAAAACACCAAAATAATTTTTTGTTTATTCCATCACATTGCATATCTTTATTTAACAAAGTCTTCTGCATTTTTGAAAATTTTTTTTGCTTAGTGTGTAGCTTTGCTAGAACCCATCAGAGAAAGTAAAGTGTGTGTTTTCTAAACACAACATTGTCCAGCCTGGAAAATATTTACACCAAAACTTTTCTTCCTTTCACTTCCAAAACATCTTCCTCCAAATTCAGACCTACAGAAATGTCTCAATTTAAGGTATTTTCATGGGCAGAAATATTAAATTCTCCCCAAGCAAGACATTTGCACGAAGCACAGAACCATAGCATAGCATAGAACCTGAGCTGGAAGGAGCACACAGGTATGGAAATACAATAATAAGAAAAAATAATATAATAAATCCTTGAATCACTCTAAAATGGCACAGTTATTTTCACCTTTGAGAACTTCTTTGATCAGATTTTGATGAGGAGCACAGTCCTAGGATGAAGGCTATGCTATTCACTAAGGGCTATTCCTTGTCACCTCCACAAAGAGCTCTCATTCAAAGTACTCACAGCATTTCCTGAGTTATATGTTTAACTTCACCCTTCCACTGTTGGAAAATTTATAAATAGGCCAATGAACTTTTTTCTTTTTCTTTTTTAAAAGAATCCTCAAGGCTCAGCTTTTTTATCTCCTGATGGTAAACAGGAAGGTGAGCTGGACCCCTTCCCCTTGCACAGCCTGCTCACTTTTCCCTCACACAGGGGAAAACTTTCCTATGACAAACCACTACAGAAAACTACAAGGATTTTTACAAAAATAAAAGCCAGTTGCTGGTATTTTGTGTTTTCAGGAGCTCACATGAAAATCTGTTGGGGCAGAGCTTGGCCCACTAGTTACTGACACCCTGAGTGAGGCATTTTGTCATTCTTTTGGCCTAATATAAAGTGACATCTACATTGTTGCTGTCACAGTTTGCTTGCTTATTCTTACTGTCACTATTACACATTGGAGATTTTACTCCCCAGTGATGATTCAGAGCAGAAAGCAAAGTTGTTGGCAATAGGTTTCAAGAATTCCCTTTCAAAACACTGCTGAGACAAAGCTGGTCAGCCACTGGAACACAACTCATGTGCTCCCAAATGTAATAATTTACTTCTGTCTTATTTTGTTCTGCAGACACAGCCCATCATTACACCCTTCCAGCATGGGGGGCTCAGCTTTCAAAGGACTGCTGGGATTTAGCCCCAGTTTCCATTAACACCAGTGACCCACCCAGCACCACTTTGGGAGTTACCTGGGGCAGTTTTCTTCTCTGGCTACACAGGGGTTTTACCCCCAGCTCCCCTCAAGGTGAGGAAGAATTAACTTTGTGTCTCTTCTGTTCCCTGATCAGAGAATAGTTTTTGTATCTTCTGACTGATAATCTTCTAAGTCCCAAACTTAGGTGGCTGTTTTGCTTTAGGGAAAGGAGGATCAACAGGCTCAAGGTTTTCCAGCCTTAATATCCCTGTTGTTAATGCTAAAGAGTACAGTACATATATTTTCAATCTTGCTGAGTTAAAGCTTCATTTAATTAACTATATGTACATACACACAGACCAATTCTGTTTTACAGTCCTTAGCCAAAGCTGCATGTCAATCTAAAAATTAAATAATAGAAAACAGACATTAAGCTTAGTTTATATAACCTGACAGTGCTCCTATCCTTCCTCCGCTTCACCTAGTGTCATCTTTCAGTGTTCCTCTCTAATTTTATTTGGAACAAAATAAAAAGATTAAGATAAAATAATTCCCAAAAGATAATTGCAAAATGATTTATGTGCAGGTGTTAAATTATTTCTGGCATTGATGTTCCATGGAGTGCAATGTTACAACATTATGGTATTCAAAAGAGCATCTACATTTGATAATCCTGCTAATCATCAAAAGACACTGGATCTGAATCCCGAAGGCAATGTTACATTTTGATTAAATTTTATCATCAGTGATTCTGTTTACGGTTCACTAAGGTATGAATTTCTTTCACATTCCATTGGCTTTACAGCTTATTGTGTTTGACTTGGAGCACAGTCAGCTGGAGTTTTCTCTGAGCCACCAGCTCTCCAGCTACTTCTTTTGCACGCTTCAGACATGCTGAACCATCCTGGGCAGAAACAATTCCATGCTTTTCCAGCACCTCCTGCTCCTGAGCTCCATCACCACAGTGATTAAAAGCCGAGCCCCCAGCTCAGGCTGGGTGCCCTGAGCCCTCCAGAGCTGGGTCTCTGCAGGCTCCCCAAGACCCAGCTTAGGCAGCAGAGCACATTTCCAACCCTGAGTTGCCAAATGGCAGAACAACTTGTAGGGCAGGCTGTTAGCACAGATTAGCTTTGTGTACACTGCTGCAAGTGGTGTAGTAATGCTTGAGAGAGCTTGTTGTAATTAAACTCTACTCCTTTGGAATCTTAATCCCGAGGCTTTCTGATTTGTAATTCCAACTTCACGGCTGCACAACCAATTTTCTGTTCTTCAGATACAGCCCCAGGCTATGGGATCTTTCCACACCAGGGTGCACATGACAGCAGCTCTGCTTTAAAACCATATGCCTGGCTGGAAGAGCCACAGCTTCTGGAGAACAGCTCCGTGCCTTCTTCACACTCATTCACCCCAAAGCACTGCAGCTTCACAGCTTTTCCCCCCTCCTTCTCTTCCAGGCTGCACTTAGCTGGAGCTCACCACCACCTCCCAGCGTGGATCTTACTGCATCCCTGCCACCTCTACACACAGCTAAGAGCACACCTGGCAGCTCTGACAGAACACTCAAACGTGGCTCCTGCCGGTCAGCTCGGAGGATTTGGGAGGCTGAAGGAGGGAAATTGCTGCACCGGGAGTTGAGGGGGCACACCCAGACACGCACACACTCGGAGAGCACAGCTCACACTGAAAATCAGCCTCTTACTGCAGCAATTCTTGTAAGCAGGACCACAAGTAAAAACCACCCCAGACCCCTCCTTGCCCTGCAGGGATTCTACCAATACTTGTGAAAATAACAATAACAATAACAATAACAATAACAATAACAATAACAATAACAATAACACAACTACAAGAACCCTCCAGCCTGCTGAGCTGGCTGCCAGCTGCAGGTGCCACGCTGCTGGCCCTGTATCTGACAGAAGTTGCACCTCTGTCCCATCATGGCCCTGATTTTGACTATTTCAAGTGCATTTGTGCCATAACAAGTAACCATAGTGGCTCTGGCAATTCATACCTTGGCACCAGAGCTTATTTTTGATGTATCACAAGGCAGCAACTAAACCTCTAGCTGGGGAAAGGTGAGAGGAAAACAGGAAGATGGATGGTCCTTTCTATTCTTCAGTTTACACTTTTCTCACATTTAGAGGAATAGTTTCAAGTTGCTTTTTGATACATTATTATGTCTTGCATCAAACAAATAAAGAATAAAAAGAAAGGAAAATGCTTAGAGAACAAAGAGGAATGCCTTTAGCACTATAGGTTAAAAAAATGAAAATATGACTATGAACATTAACTTTATTTTCAACATTCCTCACATTTTTTTTGGTGATAAATGACTTCAAATGTAGTTGCCTTCGGGGTTATATCCACAACTTCATTTTTCATGTTATTCTGAATAAAATTTAAGGTGGACACTAGAACAGACTTTGCTAAAACCTAACTGGTGCATGAACACAACCCCCATTTGGTTCACACAGGGTAGAAAAACACTGAGAAACAATCATGAAACACTTGTTGCAAACAAAGCTGGGATTTTCCTCTTGCCTACCAGTGCATTGTTGCAGGATTGGCCTTTCCTGCTGGGTTCAGACAATCTTCAGGGAAACACGCAGAAAAGGTGAATGGTCACAGCAATCAGGCTACTGAGGGAACACTAGAATCTGTGAAGTAGCCTTGATTCTTTCCTGCACACAAATAATGATTTCTTGTAATGAATGGGTGGCTTTAGTTACAAGAATAAGGCAGAAGGAATGGCAAGAAATCCTCATATTTCATTGCAAGTAATGAAAAATACCAACTTAACGCCTGTAACTTTCTACCAGTCAATCAATGGGGGCACACAGCCAAGCAGTGTGGGGGATGTGTCATTACATTAGTCTTTGTTTTATGAATTTGTTCAGCTCCACTTAATTGTTTCAGAGGTTCAGTTTAAAATTCAAACAAATATTTCTTTATTTATTTTCTTTTTCTGTGTAAACAAAGACTTTGGCATTGACAAAACTTCCTAGATGGCTCCTGAGCACCTGCAGCAACCCAGCAATGAATGTTTCGTGTGTAGTTACCCTGTTTAGGACTGGATTCGGGTGGTGGCAGAGGACCTAGGATATGTTCATTTAGTAGGAAATGCAACCTCTAAGAAATCTTGGGGGCAGCAAGGGCAGTAGGAGGCTCCTCATCTTTCCTCTCTGTGGGAGGGCTGAAGATTCCACAGGATCCCAAGATCATTAATGTTGGAAAAGAACTCTAAGGCCACCAAGTCCATCCTTGTGCCTGACCCCACCTGGTTGCCTGGCCCAGAGCATTGAATGCCACGTCCAGGGTGTCCTTGGACACCTCCAGGGATGGGGATCCCACCACTGCCCTGGACAGCCCTGTCCAATGCCTGACAATGCTTTTCACAAAGAAATTGGTCCTGATGTCCAACCTAAACTTCCCCTTGTGCAGTTTGAGGCCATTTCCTCTCATCCTATCACTGAAGCAGAGCCCGACCCCCTTAGCCTGCACCCTCCTTCCAGGGAGTGAGAAGATCCCTCCTAAGCCTCCTTTTCTCTGAATGAAACAATCCCAGCTCCCTCAGCTGCTCCTCACAGGACTGGCTCTCCAAACCCTTCACCAGCTTCACTTCTCTTCTGTTACTGGAGCCCCAAGGACATCTTCTGATTCCATGGGACAGCCGGTTCCTACCAAATGCATTTTACTTTGTGACCCAGTTCTGGCTCACAAAGACTTAACGCCCACTGCATTAGTTCTCTATCTGTAAGTCTGGCATTTTTCTCCTCTTTTCTCCCTAGAAATTTTCCCTGAATGTGAACACATTACAGGACAAATAAGTCAGCTGGGCATGAAGTGCCTGATGCAGCTGGAATTTGCTTGTCCTCCTGCCGTATGAGGTTTGATGCATGAGCTCCATTATACAGGGAGTCACAGAATCCTGGAGTGGGTTGGGTTGGGTTGGGTGCCACCCCTGCCATGGGCAGGGACACCTCCCACAGTCTCAGGCTGCTCCAAGCCCTGTCCAGCCTGGCCTTGGACACTTCCAGGGATGGGGAAAGCACAGCTTCTCTGGGAAACATTGATACCAGCTCAGTTTCTGTTTGTCCATCAAACGTAAAAACAGATTTAAAACACCTTCTTCCAGTGGGGCATTAAAAAGTATTTCCCCAGCACTCCAAAATTATAGCTAGTCCTATGAGTTTTTAAAGATTTTGTAATTGTATTACAATCAACCAAACCTTAGGATGATTTGTTGTAAGACAACTTCACCACAGCATGTTTTATTTGGAGCACTGTACTCGCAGGCCTTAAAAGCTGAAGTAAATGATGACAGAATCTCTTGATTGGATTCTTATCAAAACATCTTCCTTATAAATACCTCGGCATTATTTCCTGCATGTAATGTGGCTTTTATATCAAAACAGGGGGAAAAATCAAAAGGCAGTACAGAGCAAACAGTAACCAGAAGCTGACAGACAGTTCAATCTGCACTTGAGTGAGCTGTAATCAATTTATTCTTCATGCTCAGCTGGATCTTTCAGCCCCCATTTATGCTGTCTGCATTGCAAAATGCTACTCCCAGAATTTCACTGTCAAGTTCTAAGGAGACAGTCAGTGTGAGACCTTCCAAGTCAAGAAGAACCACTGGAATTAACCTTCTAACTGTAATCCCAAGGTTAGAGAGCAAAATGGGCTCATTTTTATGTGAGTTAAACATGTGGATGTACCCAGAAGAGTAACAATCAGAAGGTCACGAGGTGGGAACTGAGCTTTCCAGCAGAATCACCATCTGAGGGGTTTTGTCAAGAGGCAAAAATTCTATAGGAAAGCGAGCCCAGCTTAAAGAGCAGCATCTTGGAATGAGCTATTTCCTTTCTTTGAGAAACAAAGTCTGAATTGTGAAGTGAGATGGCAAACTCTTCTCTCTGCAGGCTGCAGGGGTGGGAGCCACTGCTGACAGTAGCAGAGCAACTGCAGATTGGTATCTTGGTAGTAATGGAAAGAACTGTATTCAGAGCGAGAAGTTTGGGAATTCAGAATAGGATTCTTGGCTTACTATTTTGTTAGTGACAAAAGGAAAAGTGGCAGAAATAGCAGAAATAGCTCCAGGAACA